AAGGCATAGCCCCAAATGAAAAAGGTAAACTAGTGGAACTCATCATCGATCGAACCATGTCCAACAATGTTCGATTCATCCTTTTTGAAACCCATTGAGTTGTGGACTTTCAGGATGTGTCCACTGTGAAATAATCCCATTATCTCTTAAATAATCAAGAAACTCATTAGTCAAATATTCACCTCCTCGATCCGATCGAAGAGCTTTAATACTACGACCAATTTGTTTCTCCACTTCACTTCTGAATTCTTTGAACTTTTCAAATACTTCAGATTTATACCTTAATATGTATATATATCCATACCGTGAATAATCATCGGCACTAACATTTAGTGGTCCACAAACATCTGTATGAATCAAATCCAATAGACCTTTAGCTCGCTCCACTTGTCCAACAAATGGTGATTTTGTCATTTTACCTTTAAGACATGACTCACATGTAGGTAACCTTTCCTCTCCCCTAAGGTCAAGTTTCGGTCCCAATTTGTGAATCCTCTTTTCAGATATATGACCTAATCTAGCATGCCAAATTGTGAATGAACTATGATTATCTAATTTCCATTTATTTTGTTGAATGGTTAGGATGGGACTTTGTGGTGTAATGTTTCCAGAATATATAAAAGTCATATCTTTGAAAATAGAACATCTTCCATTTTCAGTTACAAGCTTAAAACCTTCTCTATCCATTACTGGAATAGAAATTATGTTTCTTATAACATCTGGAACATACAAACAATTTGTCAAACAAATTTTTACACCATTATTTAAAGCTAGATGAACAGTCCCAATTGCTTTGGCAGCAACCCTTGCCCCATTGCCCATCCTTAGGATTGTTTTTCTTCATCTTTTAGCTTATTACTTCTTGCCATCATCTGTAAATCATTGCAAATATGTGAGCCACAGCCGGTATCCAATACCCAAGAAGAATCATTAACTGATAAGTTAACTTCAACAAAATAAATACCTGAACTCTTCAGGCTTGCGAGATACTCCTTGCAGTTCCTCTTCCAATACCCAGTTTTACCACAATGATAACATTCATGATTAGCCAGAGTATTGACCTTCTCTTTGTTCTTTCGTTTGTTGTTATTTGCCTTCTTATTGGGTTTATCGGGAACCTTTCCCTTCCCCTTTCTTTTCTTAGACTTGAAGGTCTTTGATCAAGAAGTGGATCCAACAAGAAGCACTGGCTTATCCTTTTTAATCGTGGATTCAACTGTCTTTAACATGTTCACTAATTCTGGGAGAGAAGTCTCCATATTATGTATATTAAAGTTAACAACAAAGCTGTCAAAGGACGGGAGCAGAGATTGCAACAACAGATCCACATAGAGTTCATTATCCATAATGACTCCAAGGGACGAAAGCCTTTCAATAAGAGCTATCATCTTCAGCCCATGATCATGAACTGAAGAGCTCTCAGTCATACAACACCTGAAAAACTCTTTAGATATCTGATATCTAATTTGCCGAGTCCTTTCACCATACAACTCTTGTAAGTGAAGTAGGATATCAGAAGCATTATCCAATAATTCATTCTGTCTTTGTAACTCATTTGACATAGACGCTAACATGTAGCATCGAGCCTGGAGATTGTCATCGGTTTGACGTAAATATTCTCCATACTCATCAGAAGTCCTATCCTCGGGTGGAGGAGGAGGGGATTTGTCAAGTACATGTTCCCTTTTTTCAGACTGAAGAACAATTTTTAGGTTTCTCAGCCAATCATTGAAATTGGGTCCTGTAACACCCCGCTATTTTTAATACATCAGAGTGCGCGATTTTTCGCAAATTTTTTGAATAATTAAATAAAATACTAATTTTTGCGAAAACTGATCGGGATGCTACCGTGAAAAACTTGATTTTATGAAAACCGTTAAAATTTTTAAACTGATAAATAAAACGGTCATAATGTCTTATCCGACAAACATCGGAACAAAGTCTGATAAAAAGTACTGAAAAGATTTAGCGGAAGTC